TACCAGTCTACTTTGATACTTATTTTTCTTTTTTCTACTTTGATCACTTAGATTTTCTTAGTAGCGTACTTTAATGTCTGTATGTTGTTGTATTGTTGCAAATATTTTTTTAAATTTTTTTTAGTTAGTGATGATGATGATGATGATGATGATGATGATGATGATGATGATGATGATGATGATATGATGATGATGATGATGATGATGATATGATGATGATGATGATGATATGATGATGATGATGATGATGAAGATGATGGTGATGGTGTAGGCAAGGATGAAAATGGAGAAGCGGCGCTCATTGGCATCAACATCGCCAGCATTTCAGCCACACAATGATATCACCAGCCAACAACAGCACAATCATCAACGACGGCACTATTAGTGCTAGCAACATCAATACCCCTTCGTATGTCCCTCGTTGTGACTATTATCATCATCCATTACCATCATCATCATTATCATCATCATTATTAACAACAATCATAGCAGCAGTAGCAGTAATTTTCACTTTACAATTATGATTGGTGTAAGGTAGTAATAAATAATAACAATAATGGCAATAATTATGGTATGTTTATTCTTGTACTGTCCTTGTTGTTCACATTATAGTTTAGGGATATTCCAAAAACTTTCATTTGGGAATAGAAGAAATTCTGACAATAGAAAAAGGAAAAAATTTATCGTAAATAAAATAAACAAAACAGATAACACTTCTTATCATATCATACTCTCTGTATTAATGATAACAAATGTTATTCTTAATGTAATAAGATGGAATTAAATGATAATACAAATTATTTGTTACTTCAACAATTCCTTATCCTATTTTTATCATATTTCCCTCTATGCTAAAATTATAACTGCTATCCATCATTGTTCTTCATTCTACTATTGTTACTACTACTATTACTATTACTAGTACCACTAGCACTAGTGCTACTATCACTACCACCGCTGTTATTGTTAGATCCATTTCTGTCCTCTATCCCCCCCCCCCCGCGTCCTTGTCCACCATATTATTATTATCGTCGATACCCGTCGTCGCTGTTATTGCTGTGGCATCGTTATCGTCCTTGCCATCATCAACGAATCGATATCGTTGTGATGTGAATAGTGATGATGGTGATGATGATGATGATGATGATGATGGTAGCGATAGTGTGACGCTAGAGAAGCAGGCAAACGTGTATGTGAAATAAATGTCCTCTCTATCCCAATCACTACCCTAAATCACCTCGTATCACTGCTAACATCATCGTCAACATCAACATCAACTAATATTGGCATTATCGTCATCGTATTTATATTATCCTCTCTTCCATCTATCAATCAAATATTGTTGTTCTCCTCAATATTATTAATAAAATTTTTGCGATCTGCAAAATATTGCAATGAAAATGTGTTTATCTTAATTTGTTGGGTAAATAAATAGATTTGTTGTGTTTATTCACTGTCACTACAATCAACCATTATTTGCAGATCATCCATTATATTATAATAAAGAATAAAGTTATATTCTATTCAATTATTGTTGATACTAATAGCATTCCAATTTTGACACCAATATGACACAAAAGAATCTTGAAAATGAAATTTTAAAAAAAGAGAAAGATAAAATGAAAGAGAGGAAGTGTTATCTCTTTAGAGACAGCTTGTCTAACTACAAAAAGAAAGTGAATATAATGAATTTAGAAAATTAAGGAAAATTAGAGTGGAAGATATATTTAAAGTGAAGAATTACTGATCTCCTACTTCTCCCATATGAAATTTAAATTCAATTTCATTTTTTGATTTCTTCGTTTTTTTTTCAAAGAAGAATGCAAAGATGTTAAAATAATGTGTGTTTACAGATAGGAAGAAAAGAAGTGTTACAATCAGGAGTGATTAGCTGATCAGCTAATTAGAAATGAGAAAGGAAGAAGAGACAATAAAAGGCAATAAATTTGGAACTCGGCAATTTGAAATAAATTTTAAAATAAATTTGTTTAAAACTTCCTTCGGCGAAGAATGCTTAGTGTGGTTTTTTTTTAGCTTAATTAGTTAATTAAGTTAATTAATTGGTGCTCTTGTTGATCAAATACAAGTTAATAAACAAATTCAAAATAATAAAATTTAAAAGGATGCATATCATTGATTCTTACCACACTGATTATTTAATAGGAAAGGCTTTACATGTTAAATCCTTCTGTCCTTATGTTATGCTTACTTCAACTCATCTGTCTCATTTCTTAACAATGATTTTTTTACCCTTTTAGCATTCGTTATCGTATATACTCAACTTCACGTTATTGTCGTTTGTTGTTATTTAAATATATCAATTGGAAGTTGCTATCAGTACTTTGATGTACAAACATAATTATTACAAACTTTCAACATTGCCCCGTGACAGCCACTTTTCCCCGGACAGGATAGTTTATTATTGGGAATACAATCTTCGATGTTGATGGAGAGTTACACATTGGCATTTTATTCTTCTGTGACCAATACATCAATAGTTTGCAAGAGAAATGAAACTGTTTGCATTTCTGGCTGCTCAAAGTATTTGTATTATAGAAATGGATTGCAAAAACTCTATCTGTGACTAAAGAAAAATCAAACTGAACCCGAAAAGTTTTATTGCAAGTAATTCTAAAACAGCAATAATATAAACAGATAAACAGCAATAACAGTAGTAATAATAGCAATAATTATTTCTGTAATTTATCTTTATTATTCAGTCAATCACCATTGTAAAACAAAACCTTGCCTGTACTTCGTAATCACGACTGTGTTACAGGCTGCACCTGGTAATCGACTTGGTGATAAGACAATCCATAATCACCATCATTCCACAGAGTGTACATTCTTTATAACAAATCATAAAAAGGGATAAATATTTAAATAATAAAGCCTTATAAGAAATCCGTCATTGAATGATTACGACAGAATATATATTATTTTAAAGAATATATAATTCATATACATTTAATATTTAAGATATCTGTGGAAAAAGAACAAGAGGCAACGCCACAAGGAAACTAATTTCTTTTAAGCTTTTTTTCGCAGGTACATGTAGCTCCCGTATATTTAGAACTCTCAAAACAAACAATCCACAACAATTCGATGTATATCCAACAAATTCCAAAAGCTGTCGATATTGAAGTAAGCATTAAAGGAATGAATTCGAAATTAACATCGAATATGATCTAAAATGCAAAAGTCATAATAAAGAATTTGTAAACTAAAAAAGTTAAGGTTCCTTTCACCAACCTTGGAAGACTGAATTATGGAACAAAGATACGATAGTAAATCTAAGAATTTAAAATTCACTCGTTAGGGTATGAAAAGAGAAAAACCCAGTTTCCTCGACTAAGTGATACATTCGATGCTCTAACTACATTTAAATCTCCTATTATTATTTCGGTGCAATAAAAATTACCAACCTGATGCAAGACTAAGCAATAAACTTGAACAATTAGGAGTCCAAACAAATAAAGTTTCTGGAGAAAATGAAGTGATCTTTCTGGACACAAAAATCGCATAATGCTTATTGACAAAAATAGATAGCAAAGTGTAATAGAAACCTAAAATAAATAAACTTTGTACCAGGATGAACACATTCATATGAGACTACCGTTTACTAATGTAAAATTACTAACAAAGTTGTAGTATCATTGATCTATGAACTGTTTCAAATATATCAATAATATTAAAGGTGACAATGAGTAGGTCTCCGTTTATTGTGCTATTTATCATTAATCTGCAAAAAATTTTCCTTATCCTTTGTATAAAGCTTAGATTTTTATTCCAAACTAAACGATTTTTTTATCGATTGACAGCGTCTTTAACTACATAGAAAGACATACTTTCAAAATATTCTCGAAAGATGTGAAAAAGAGAGGAAAAAGTGAAACGTTTGCCACAACTGAAAGCACAATAAAAGATGGTAGAAATCGATGATCCTGGAACAATAAAATTTTCAAAACATTATGATAACGTTTTTCCTAATCAAATAAGCTAAATAGTTTGTACATTGCCACTGTAGGCATAATTAGGAAGACTAATGATGCTTCATGTGTCGAGCATGCTTCATATTTGCTCGCACAAGAGAGAAATTTTGCATCGAATATCCGAGCAGATTTAATTTCTCACAAAGAATATAACAAATGAATAATCAAAATGTGACAGAAGTACCGATCGGCAAAGTTGGTTCTTTTTAACTAAATTAGTTAACAGATGTTTACAGCAACAGTAAATATATCTTTTCGTGGAAAACACAGTTAACTGCAACAACATACTGAAGAAGCTAGAATGGTGTATGGAACAGTGATAAGTATGACTGCTTTTTCGTGCACATGATATCCGGCAAGAAAGAAAGCAAATGCAGATAGTGTGAGTAAAATGGGGAAATTCTTCGAGTGTCGGGTAGGAATAAGCGCTGTCAGCGGTGACAGTAATGCTAATGTTACTAGCAACGTTCCGAATGGTGACACAGAAGGTAAAATGGAATGCTTAAATTCCTGAAACAATTTATTCCTCTTACAACTAAAATAATTAATTAAAAAAGTTTGCAAAGCGAACTAAAAATATTTGTCTATTATCACTACAGTGTATGAATTCAAAGAAAAAGTGCAAAAATACCTGCACAAGGCCTGAAATGTAAGTGGGTGAATGAACATTTGGAGGCAATCGCTTGGTCAATTTTAGAATTTGATAGAAATACCAGTCAGCAAAATTATAAAATGCCCATAAATTAGGGGCCCAGTAAGCGTGTGTTAGACCACGCTGAAAGGGAAACAACCGTCTCCATATCTGCTGTAAAACGCTAGGACCACATAAATAAATAAATGGACCTGAAATAAACGCTTAATAAACGCTGCTGAAGTTTATATCCGAACAAAATCCAATCAGAAAAACAAGCAGAGTAGATACATTTTTCTTGAAAGGACCATAAACTTGATAAATCAAGCTATGATTCATCAAATATTTATTAATCAAAGCCACTTCAAAATTATTGGAATTGCATAATCTGAAACTTAAAAATAGTTATATATGCTAGAAGAGTAAGAAACACTTTACCTTACCAAAGGATAATGCAAATGGAAGAATAAGTATAGCAGCTAATTTTGCACCGTTAGTTATGAAAACTTTTCCAGGGGAAAACAAATAATTTATGGCGTAATATACCGCATATGCAGGTGCATAGTATAGATAAATATGTTTCATATTTAGCAGAATGCAGTAGGTCAGTGCACCCTGAAAGTGAATTATAAAATTTTACGATATGCAAAAATTTTCATGAATGCATAGTTTTTATTGACCTCATGCCAATATTTTATCTTGATTAGCAGATCAAGTTTAACGGAAGATCTTTAAAGCAGTGTTAATTTTTGAGATGTAAGCCAGTGCAATTCAAGGCTTGAACATTAAATATCAATTTATATATTTTCATGCCATGATGTATATTACAGGACTCTGGAAAATCTTCATGAACTTACGACGATAACAGAAATTTGGTAAAGACCCATATCAAAGAAAATGGAGTCGATATGAGATTAACGCGTAATCACAATTTATCTAACATATTATGAACTATTTTTTCAATTTCTGAGATGCATAATTAAACCAAATATCTGAAATGATCAAATGGAACTTACACATAGAAAAGATTTCCTCATAATCCAACCAAGCGAAACCAAAAGAAGTGATGTTAAAATGCCATTGTATTGAAAATGTATGTTATCGATCATCACCAAAGAAACATTAGCTAAGAGAAAAACGCCGGTAGCAACCGAATTTTTCTTTACATTGCTATCATTTTTGCAGAGTCCAGAAAAACTTTTTGTTAGAAAAATGCATGATAAGCTCTAAAATTTCATAGGAATTAAAACAAAAATAGGACAAAACGATTATGAACGGTACACTGCCTATAATTCGTATGCAGTGAATGAAACTTACATATAAAACGTCTGTTGCAATTACCGAAAACCTTTGAAAGTATAATAATTCACTGGAAAAATATGAGTCTTTTTGCAGCACCAATGCAGAAGGGATAATTTTTGATGCCACCTAAAGATTGTTCATTTACAGTCGAACAAAAATGCAGTTTTTAATCTCAATGATTTAAAATTGTACTAAAAAATATTAAGCAGCCCTGATTTAAACTACAAAGGTCATCCACCTGACTTAAAAAATATTCGAAAAAGGCGAAAAATGGAGGATAATCAAGAGTCCACTGTGACGTATCTTCATAGTACCATGAGCAAATAGGAAGCGTATGTGTAATAGCCATCCAGTTACGGTGCACCTATATTAAAAAAAAAAAAGCTTTAGTTTAACTCTCAATTTTAATTTAGAAGTTCCTTTTGAGAAATATATTATTGAAGAAACAAAAATATGAAAAATAAGTTTTGTGACTTTTCATTTTTTAAATCGCTCACCTCGAAATCGGTACTACGATAACATGGTATCAAGAGGAATTTTATGGCAAAAACCGCTGCACAACAATACTGAAACCATTCTTCTTTGAATCCTTTTAGATAACTCAATAATTTCAAATCATTTATCTGATCCTCTGATACTGATGAATGGGCAGCCATCATATTTGGAATAAATTATTTAGGAAAAGTCTGAAACACTGACTTCAATTCACGTGGAATTAAAATTGCTGATTAAAATTGTTGTCGAGTTCAAAAATTTTTTCTGCAAAACGCAGCAGGGAAAAAAAAACCATACTATACTATATTAGCATAGTAAGCGTAATATCATCACAACTACTGTGATTATTCCTCATCATCTCACTACAACTATCATGATCATTATCAGAATCGTGATATCAGTACAACTATCACGATTATTATCGGAGTAATAGTATATCAATATAACTACAGTGATTATTATCCGAATAGCTGTGATTATCACTATAGATATCAATGCAACTATGTGATCATTATCAGGGTAATCACGATATCATTGCAATCACAGCGACTACGAGACAAGTAGTCGGCTGGAATATATAAAAGACATGGCCCAACAACAAACAGAACAGGTTGAATAGGTGGAGCGATCGAGAGAACATCAATCCAGAGGAGATTTCAGATGTCTCGCGCTACTTCCCGTAAGCCGAAGGTAGGGCTGGGTATTATGAGGCCATACATTACTATGCGGCCGTTTCTGTTACCGTTTCTGTAACATAACATATCACAACGGTGAAGGTGATGTTCTGATTGTATATGACCTCCATCTAAGACTGTTATGTTTCCTATGATCTAATTAATGATCTAAATGACTGCAGTGGTCACCCCAGATAAGATACCCCAGGTATTCGCAGAGCCAAAAATAAAACATGGTGATAACCGAACCCTATATTCTTATTCTGAGCTTGGTGCGCTTCACTTAGGTTCTCTGTGACCGTAAATCATAAATGTTTGAAGTTTGCGAAATTGCTCTGTTTGTTATAGGCATAGATTTCTATATTTGATAATTCGTTCTTGTTAACCAACCGTAGTTCTCTAGACACGATCAAATCAAAGAATTTATGGCATATCAGTAGCTGCAATTGTGTACTTTCATTTTACCTATTAGAATTCCATTAGAATCTTTTACAAGAAATTCTTCCCCGGGCTTCAATTAACTAAAATGACATTACGACTATCAGCCAGGGATAATCGGCGGTCCGCAAATCAACACATCTGCAGGAATTCCGTGCATCTCCGTACCCGGCACAAACATTAGTCGAATGACCAATGTCGCACTGATACCTTACTCGTGCAATTTGCCCAACAGGCGGAAGCTCCTTTCAGAAATTTATGACTCATGAGCGGTCTGCCTTTCAGAGCCATGTTGTGCATAATTTTATTATTGTAAATGTAAGAAAATATATAGACATACAGGAAGATACGAAGGGGTGTACCATGGATGATACAAGAAAATAGTATCAGTTATTGCGTCATTATCAAAAAGGAAGGTTATTGTTGTCTTTTTCCTTCACGAAGGAAAATTTCATACAAAAGCAATTTTTGAGAGCAAGAAAGAAAATGTAAGGCTTGATATATCACCTTGTTACACCATTCAGCTGTTTCTTCATATATTTTGATATAAATAAGCAGAGTGTCTTTATTGTGGAAGTATTTATGCAGTACTATTTCTTTTCAAAATTACAGCCATAGCCACAAACGGCACTAAAAAAATTACAAGTGAAAAAAACTCAAATGGACAACAAATGCAAAATGACAACAATGACTACATTTGCTGAAAATTTTAAAAAGTGTTCAAAATAAACTGACAGTGTTGCAGAATTAAAACAACTTCAACAAATCATGACATCATAGTTTACTACAGCGATTGACATTCTGCAGTTCGAAAAATTTACTCGTTCCTTTCTTCGGATTACTCATTGGTGATGTCCACAGGGCAGAAGATGTTCGCTTATTATAATGTGTGCGATTTCTTGCAAAAATTTTGTCTAGCAGAGGCGTTCGTACCGGTCCGAAATAAACATCAGGGTCGATAGGTGGTTGCATAATTTGTTTTCGTAACGCATTTTGCAGTCGTTCCCCTGAAATGAAAAGCGCACAATTATTAATAAAATTGTATTTTCTTGATTTTTTTTTCATTTTTTCATTCTACAACTACTTTGAATTAGCTTGTATTTTTAGAATTGTTTGGTAACTAATAAATAAATACGGAACATGAGAGGACTTCTTTCATATGCGTGAACATCCTGCTTAAGGCTTAGGTGACTATTTTTGAGATAGAAGAAATTGCACTGACCTTGCGCCCAAGAAGGAATTGGTTTTCGTGGATTTTCCTCATCATCCGTCTCATCATTCGACGAAATGCTCTCAACATCATAGTTATTACTAATATCATCTAACGTTTCATTGTTCGTTACATTCATGCTGAAAACGATAGTAACAATTCTCCAGAAATTTACAAAATTCTGTATAGTGAAAATATGTACCGGTGTACTTTTAGAATGTTCGATTTCAAAAAATGAGTACTCAAGAGAAATATCTGAACGATATCTAGATATCTTTTACATTATCAAAATAACTCAAGCTCGAGTAACCTTTTATCAAAAGTTCGATTACTTATAGTGCTTGTCTCGGCAGTGAGAATGTCAACTTCCATAACTTGCGAAGGTTCATCTAAATTTTCTTTCTCATTTATCCTCGAACTCTCAACCGTAGGTGAATGCATTATGATGTCAGAATTAACATCACAATTCTGCAAAGATCCCTGCACTTCTTGTTCGTTTACTGCAGGAGTTTCTTTTGGTTGAGTAGCTACGTGTATATTACTTTGCGAGCTCCCTTTAGAATTTCTCTCATCGTCATTCTCAGCACGTTCAGTATGAGTTTGATCATTGACAAGCTTTTCGTTCAACACTTCTTGCGTGTCAGTCTCGATGGAACGTCTTTCAGTGTTATCTCTTTCACTGCACTCCACTAAATCTAGCTTCTGTTTTTTATTTTCGATATCGACATCCTGTTTGATGCTATCGACGTGGTTTCGTTTTCCTTGGAATTTAAGCTTTTCCTGAAACAATATTTGAAAATTCAACAAGAGTTTTCTTAAACCTGAAACAATTATTTTTGACAGCATAACATAAACAAACCTGTCTATTCTTTGTCATCTCTTTTTGTGAGGCATCCTTTGGTGCAGAAATGTCTTGTGAAGATTTTGCACGAACGAGCGGTTTCTGTATGCGATTATAATAGCCTCTACAACATTTGTTTCTAATTCATTATCGCCACTTAATTTAATGTTTATGTGACATATTTCTTGGTCATTTGGAAGCTTATCAAATCATTATTAATCACTCCATACTAAAAGAACCTGGTACGGCAGGGTGATTTTGAGACGGCTCTTTGAGATAAGCGTTGCTTCTGTCTCAATTCTTCGATTTGTTGTTCGCGCATTTTTATTATCCGAAGCTTCTCGAGCGCTTCTTCTTCTTTCTTCTTATTGTTCATTTTCACACGCAATGCTCGTTCCTCACGATCTCTGAATTTCAGCTGGCATTTAGAAAGAATTTGATTTAGCGCTTCTTAGAAGTTCACGGTTCCTCTCCTTCGTGGCGACTTTTGTACTGAGTGTTAAATTTATCAACTTAGACGAAATACTTCAAAAATTCTCAAACAACAAAACTATAGAAGAATAAAACAATATAAGACGCCGCTGATGTAGAAAAATCCAACTAAAATTTGTGATTTACAAGACGGTAATTATATAAAATCAAATTAATAAATGACTTCCTCGCACGCTCTGCCTTTTCTTTCATCAATTCTTCTTTGTTTTTAATCACAGTATTCGTTCTTTTCTCCATTTTACGTATTACTTCAGATCTCTTGAATGTTAGCTGTAAAGAAAATTTATGGATTGGAAACTTTTGAATCCATTTTTCTTGGCATTCCAAGCCTCTCGGTCCCCTCTCGGTTTAATAGGACTTTTTTAATAGGTTTAATAGGAATAAGGTGATTTTGATCTACTGCAGATCACGTCTTGGTCTCCGCATCTCAGTCCATTGTCACGGACTAGATTTATCACATTGAAACCAAATTTACGATGCCTTAAAGATGAAACTAACTTGTCGAGCAGTCGGTTTTGGAGTAACCGCAATCTTTTTACCAGCAATTTTCGGAGTGACAATAGTTCTCTCAACAGTCGCCTTCGGAGTAACTGTAGCTTTTCGGGCAATGGATCCCGGATTAGCCTCAATTTTTTGTGTGGTAATCTTAGGAGTCATTACATTTCTAAGAGGTGTTCTGAAAAATATTCATTCTTGCATAAAAATTACATTCACTGAAGCAAAATTTCAGACGGAAAAACGAACTCCTCACCGTTTCGGTGTTTTATTGCAAGTTGTAATTGGAGGGCAATTATTCACCTGTAAAATAAATATTTCATCAAGAAAAGCAAAAGCAATTATATATCTATATTTAATGCAATTATATGACAGCAACCTTAATGGGTGTTTGGTGTTTTGGAACACATTGCCTCGGAGTGAGTACATGTTGTACTGATATTTTTCGGCCAGCTAACATTGCTTCCTGTTTTACAGCTTGCTGCAAAAAGTGAAATTAAACAACGTAAGAAAAATAAACAGACAAATAAATTATAAAATTCAGCAGCATTAATAGTACGCACCGCAGTAGCATTCCTCGAAGATTTGGGAGTTTGTGCAGCATAAGTCGCAGTACTTCTGAAAATAGAAGCACAGTAAAACATTCTGAGAAGTGTATTTCCGATTCTATCACATATATTTTTTTGTTGACGATAATAGTCTGACGTAAAATTTCCTTCAAGTGGAAGTACATAATGTAAGTAACAGTCATACGCACAAGTGTTAGGAGGTCCTTGCATGACAGTTCAGGAACAGCGTATGCTACAACAATTGAAATGATCCTATGGAAGTCATACGCATTCAAATAATTTGTAACATACTCATCGTTTGCAAAAGCATATGTTCCTTTCCGTGTGGCACTATCTAGCAGCCTTTTCCTGCACTTCCGAAAAGTTTCCGCTTCCTGTGAAAAACAGTATCCCCGTTTAGGTGTTTTTGGTAAGCGTATGCGACCTGTTCTGCAACTTCGAGCTTGAGTACATATCTTATAGAATGGAACTACGAATTACTCACTAGTTCTGTAAAAAATCAAATAGAAAAGAAAAGTTGCTGATGATGTAAAACTACCGACTCTTATACGTTAAAGCTTCATTTTCATTTTCACAGGTTTCTCTGCCACAAACATTACTAACTTGAAAACTCGCATAATGAGAAAAAATCAAGTCCGCGAATGACTAATGCTTTGACGACTAATACTATGACCCTTTTTCAAAAAATACATGCTTGGTAGAATTTAGCGATTTATCAAGTTATCACCACCCAAAGATGCTTTATACAGAAAGGTAAAATAACTCTGATATGTCTAGAAAGACGAAAAATAACACCTAATATAAATAGAAGTCGAAGTTTAATTTGATATAAACATATCAAATTTGATCTGAATATATTTCCATTAAATGAATAATTATGAATATTGGAATGAACTTACTCATTCCGTATAATCGCTTTTCCAATTTCCTTTTGCTCCTCGAGCCAAAGGAAGAAGTTATTGACTTTTGATAGAATATCTGCATCAAATTTACTCACAATTAATCGATCGATATGACAAAAATTAGTCCTGAAAATGTAGTGAAAACACCATCAAAAGTAAACCATGCAGGAAGAAAATGCTGAGATATGTGGAAAGAATTTGTACGAATTTTGAAAAGCAATCTCCCTATTAGTTATATCGTCTTAGTTGATAATGGGCCATAACTTCATTATTTATGGATTTTTTCCCTCAACAACTTCATCTAAATTATAGATATATTTATCAATTGGTGTGTAATTTTCGAAATATAGAAACAGAATTTTTGAAACAAAGTTTTTTATTGCTAACGAAAAAGGCGTGCTGCTAATCCTTAACTATTGATTTTAATTTATTCAAATTTATTTTTAATAAAAATATGGTGCAAGATTTCTAAGAGCAAACAGTGATGAAGAAAAATGACTGTCTCATAACCATTAATTTAATCTTCCATAAGTCCCAGATCATTAGAGTGTCAGACAATGGGGCGTAAGATAAAACTAACGAAAGGTTCATAAAATATTTTTGCTTGAAATTTATAAAAAAATCATACATGCAAATAACTATGACTAATGGGATCACTTAATGCAACATCTTGAAATTTAAAATAAAAAAATATTATAAAGGCATATTCTTTGTAAGGAAAGCTTCAAGCTAAATTTAAATTCGAATGATGAAAAATTTAAAGATTGATAAAATAATTTATATTTGGGAAAAAAACTGACTGCGCAAGTAATCTGTTCACGTCAACATTCATTTCTAATCGATGCTTAATACGTCTATCCGTGAACCTAAAAGTAAGAAAAAAATGAAATTATAACAAAATTAACGTACGTACACGTTCACCCACGTCACGCGCCCTAATAATCCCATACGTACATACAAACACTTTGTTGACAAAAGATTTCCAATGCGTTTAAATAAAAACTTTGGCGCGAACAATTAAAAATTGTCTATTTCCATTCTCTCACTATCTAAGTATCTTTCTAATCTAATTCTCTCTCCTCGGTAAAAATTCTCTCATTCCGTCTCAACTTGAAATTTTTGGTTTTGGGACACTTCGCGATGATTGATTCATTATGACAGGTGTCTATGATTTGCGCAAAGGTGTGAGGATAGTTTCAGGTGCAGGGTGCATTGTGTTTCGGGTGTTTCGCACGTAAATATATATATATATATATATTAACTATGTTTCTGTAGATATAAGTATTAAGTATCAAAAGATGAGGATGCAAAAGTATTAAAGAGAATGGACATTATTTTGTCTTGTTGCTTATGTTGCTTATTTACTTCTATGATTTTTAACTTGTTCACCAATTGATAAATTCTTATATCACTTTTAATTCCTTAATAGTGGTAGTATATTTTTTTCAAAATGATATGGTAATAATTTGAACTTCAAAAATAAATGCGGGGGAATGTGATCTGAAATTAGATGTATGTGAAAGTGAAGTATCTTGTGCACCAATCGTTTGAGGGATTCTTTTATGTCTATGAATTTTTCTTTCTTTTCCTTCCTTTACTTCTTTTATTTCAATAATTTTTAGGAGAAACCATTGGGATTTATTGTTAGATGACACTTCTAATCAATTTTTCCCTTTTTTCCTTTTCATATCATTAAGCATTTACTTTATATATTAAATGATTCTTTTTTTTCAGTTCAGTTTTATGCTATAAACGAGCTCATCAATGTGTGAATTCAAATTAATTTTATAATTGTCGAATAGTTGTATATATTGTAGTGATATATTCTGTAACATGCAAGTATCATTATTAGCATTGAATAAGTATCGACAATAAATTTATATGAATTATCCTAGTATCTTTGAAATACAATCGCTAGTAAGAAAATCTTCTGATTGTCCAATATTCATCCAAAAATCCTTCCGAAAATATAATTGTAGAAATAACCAATATTTGACATTTTCCGGAAGATTTCTTTTTCCATGAAATTTGATCGATCGATTTAATGGTATTCGATTTAATAGTTTTGATGGTAAAATATACAAACCTGCATTAATATTGCCATATATTCCGATGATTTTTCTACAAATCGATTCACTTTTGCGCTTTTTCATCAAACACACAAACATTACATTTTAGTTCGATAGCTTGGTGTATCGCAATAGTGTATCTTCATGTTGATGGCAAATATGAAAGTCGATCATTTGTCAAAATGAAAAATTGCAAATATCAGAATTGAGTATTAAAAATGATTCTTCATTTTTGAGTAGATTTTTTGCTGGCAATAAGACTCCTCTTTCCAAGAGGCTTTGTTTCCACGAGAAAATCTATCGCGACATTCCAATTATTAGCTTGATTTATCATTTCTTCCAAAAGTTTCTCATGATAATAGCTAAAATAATCATATCCATACCTGCTGCTACCAATACTTCTATTTGATGAAAAATCATCGGTTTATTAGCAAACTCAGTAAGCGGTTTAGGTTCAAGGGATCGGTTTGAAGGTTCAAAAGTCATAGCCATCAATCAAAATTAAAGCCTTCATAATCCATCGAATTCGATATGCAGTTTAATCACTTTCTCTCTTCTTTCTGTCTCTCTTCCTTTTTCTCTCTTTTCAATCACTAATTAATAAAATTTTTCGTAAAAATGATAAAATCACAGCAAATCAAAGCCTACGTCTTTTCTTCAATTATTGATAAATCTGATAGCAGCAATTAATCAATAACGGAAAAAAGTAAGTAGTGAATTTAAATTTAGTTGATAAATAAATTTTGAAATAATAAATATTTTGAAATAATAAATAATATAGTTGATATAAATAATATAGTTATAAATAATATAGTTGATAGAAATAAATTTTGAAATAATAATAATTTTGAAATAATAAATAATATAGTTGAACAGTTGAATATTTCGCAGATTAACTAACTGCATACTCATATGTAACTGCATTAACTAACTGCACACACACACGCAACACATACATTAATCGATAATCGCTGATTAGATGCGAGCACTTAGAATTATTTTCTTCCTGAACATTGCTCATCGGCAACATTGCGAGATTTGCGTGCATCCATAACGATTTGTATGAATTCTTTCTTTAATTTCAATAAAACATTTCATCACTATATTGGAAACAATTCTAAGCAACAGACTTGTTAGTTTACGAAATTGTTGATTTGAAAACTTAATACATTCATATTTTTTCGTAAAAAAAGCCATTGTTTATTGGAGAATTACTTAATTGGATTTTAATCCATAAATCTTTCATTGGAGTATTACTATTCCATAATTGTGCTATATGGAAATATTACTGCAATTACTCTATTTAGTGTGGGAGGAATGTTTCATGACAAGTCGCTGTTATTTACGGTTGCTAGTTGGTTTGGAAGTTAGTTCTTTCCGTTGATTTTTACTCTTCCTGGATTCTTGTAGTTGTTTTCATACTTTGGTCATTGGTAGTGACATATCAATTTTTCTTGAAATGACATAAATTTGTCTGGTTTTTGTTGAAAGTACTATTTAAAGATTTTCGTACAATCTATATCGCGTATGATTATTTTTGATATAGTCGTCACTATAATTATCACTATCAATACGATATATATATATATTTATCACTATCGATATGATATAATGAATTTTAAAATTTCCATTCGATGATTCCTCTTTTTCAGAGACTTGGTTGAAAGATGGTGGAAAAAGGGAAGGAGGATCGACAGATTGCGTGGATTTACGAAGGCACGAAATCGTTGGTTAATCGAGAAGACTATCTACTGGGTAAAAAGGTATTAAAAGTTTCTAGTTTATAAAATGTTTGTTACAACTCGTAATTTATAATAACCTAGTATACCTGCTTAATGGAAATTTTTTTAGGTGGATAAGAATTTCGAACTCTACTCGGATGCTGTCGTCAAGGAGAAAGAAAGCGGAATTGAGGCATTAGAAAAGCCTCAGCGGTACATAAATGGTACTTCTTCGTCGAGGATATCCAATCTGGAAGTTGATATTGTGAGAACTGAAGATCCGTTGGTGGCTATTAAGGTGATATCTTAGACGACTTTATTTTATTTCCTCGAAATTTTATATGAATAAGAACTTCCGTCTGCTGTTTTGAATCTGCATGGTCTGAAATTTGTTGATAACTTGCTTCAAATAATCACTTAGTTTTCAGGTGAGAGAAGAAAGGATTTGGCAGGAGAAGATAGAGAATCCTTTAGTGCAATTAAGAATGCAAAAATTGATGAAGAAAGTAATGGAAAAGAGGGAAAAGAAGCGATTAAAGAAACTGAAGAAGTTGGAAAAAGAAAAAAAATGTAGGCATAATGCGGATTGCGATGACAATGCCCATCACTTTGAGGTAAAGCTCGTGGCTTCATATTAAAATGTAGATTCTTTTTTCTTTGAGATTCACTTTGATATTTTGTCCGAAATATCTTTAAATTTTATAGAAACGGAATGAACGGCATCATATTATTGATGAAGAATCTTCAGCAATGCCTTCAGTGTCCTCAGAGCGAACGAAAGTAAGAGGTTTTATCGTTATAGGGAATTAGTTATGTTGAAATCTTTTTGGCATGCCATGATATACACGGAAATCTCAAGCACTGTACAAATTTTAGTCTCTTCTTACTTCCATTATTTTTTGCAGTTTCAAACTTGACCATTAGACAGCGACTGGACAAAAAATATTTAACATTCGCGGAGGTTTAGAGCAAAGCATCAATGATTTTCAGGAAAAGCGAAGAGGAAAAAATTTGCAGAAGGATAGCCATATCCCGGCACACTTACGACCCAAATACGTAGGTGTTTTTTCGTAATCATTCTTCGCTCCTTTTTAGTTCATTATTCATCCCTTTTCGTATTTAAGAGTTCATCATCGGAAAGCGTTGGTAGCGAAGACGAGAGTAAAGAAGTGGACAGAAAATCACGGAAAGAGGGATATGGTTTGGTGAAGAAAGGAAAATACGAAGCACGGAAGCGGGAAGAAATCAACAATCCCTATAAGACTCTTCCAAGAAAACAAATTGAAACTTACAAGGTTTATCTTGGAAATACTTCTTTTCGACCTTTTAATTCCTATATTTTATTCTTATTTTCATATTTCCAACTTACCTTGATGTTCCTTGCAGAGGCCAGAACGTCGTCAGCTGACGGAAGAAGAAATGGAAATAAAACGAAGAGAAATGTTGGAAAATGCGGATTGGAGGGATGCAGTTCGGATGAAGAATATCAAAAGAAATGCGCGACGAGATGAGGAAGAAAATCGAAGAAATGAAGGAAAGACAGCTAATTTTATCAGGTCGTGCCCTTTTTAATGGAGCTTGAGTCAGTGTGTAATATGATGTGTACTTAAACACTCGTACTACGTTGTTCTTACTACGTCACAACGTGAAACGCATGGCGTACAACTTGTATATTGATGATTTGATATTGGTAACGTTTCAGACCGATGCTGAACAATGTCGCATCGACAGTCACTGTGGAGCAACAGTTGAAGAGTCATCGGAGAGAATTACAACGCACCAACGATTTTACTGAACAAAAGTTTGCTAGACGATGACATATCGATGTAGTTTTGTCTATGTGTCTGTATTCGATACTATTCTTAAGCTTGTATGAAGTATTGTGACATAAAACTGTGTATGAATAAGTGCTGAATTAAATTTCAAATTGTCTCGAATTTGTAAGAATTCAATCAATGGTCGAAATCTGTAGTTCAATTTAGAGGATTTCAAAACGCCTGCTATCAGTTCTGACAAATCAAGAAAGTATGTGGGGAAATGCAAAACACAGTGATCGGTTAATGTGAATTTAATCACAGCAGCAGAAAATATGTTTCGCGCAACAAATGAATTGTTGCTAGCTGTAACCTATCTCAGTCATTCAACTGCATGATACTGTGTATATCAAGCACTGAAGTTACTTATAGAAATTATATATCACAAGTACTACGGATGACATGTCAATTAGAACGATTATATGCTTGCGGTCGGAAATGATCGCATCATAAGCATCCTGATGCATGAAGTAACGATCTTTCCGTGTTCAAGCACTTCTGTCTAAAGTGACAAAGGTAAGAATAAATGTGAAATAGAGGACAAAATACACTTATCGGATTTTCGCTCTTTTTCGTCTTATCGTTCATCGTTCATTCACAATGTATTATGCAGCTATTTAATGCAAAGGAAATTAATTATATTGACATCTAAATCTATATCAAAAGAAACCGAGCAATGAAATATTTGTGAAGCTTTCCAGCCACACTCTGAATACAACGTTATATGTGTCACGTCATTGTAATCAATCTGAGAATGTATTACACGCCATAATTACTTTATGATTTGAATAAAGGAAAAGCAAACAATTTGACGATGAAATTTGCGGTAAGGAGAAATAAAACTACTTTAACCGTATGTTGAGATTGTTAGTTAGCAAAGAAATATTCGAATTTCTGAGATTGGAATTATAAGAAATTTGACATATTATCAGATATGCCAATGTTTTTGATTCGTTCAAAATGTTGGGGAAATATCTGCAAAATTTCGTGAAATTTTTATTTGATTGCAGGAACGGATATAAATTATAACATACAAAAACACACTGTTACATTGGTTGATCGCCTTTCAACAATTAAAGTACGTCAAGAATATTGAAATCAAAAACAGAATGCTTCTAAAAGAAGCACAAATTAAATAGTGAAAAAATGCAGTGATCAATGCAAGGTTAAAATGATGTATGAGCGTTAATGTGATAAAATAGGTGGAATGCGAAATTCTGATAATCAAGAATTATAAAGCAAAGCATACAAGTAAATTTAAACCATCACAATATAATAGTTTTACAGTCCTTCGATTGAGATTGTTTTCTGGATTAATATATCTGATAGCAGAGATATCTCTACTATCAGCGCAATTAAGGAGTTCACTGTAGAATATAGCTTTTCAGTAGGACATTTATGCTTCTTCATGCATCTTTTCAAACCAGTATTCCGAGTGAATATTTATACATTCGGATCCTTTTACGCCTTTGTGCGCCAGTTCATGACCTTGCAAATGGTTATGTTGTTTGAAATTCTTACGGGATACATTACAGTTGAATGGTCATTCGTTCCTACGTATTAATTTATTTCCTCCAAGTGAACGCACTTCTAAACGCTTTACCGCGCCGATCGCATTTGAACGACCGTTCATTCTTGCTGCACGCATCACAATTAAACCGTTTTTCATTTGCTCCAATGTTATTAGTTATAGTTCTTATTTCGCTTCTCTTTTCCAAAGTAGAAGGTTTCTGACTCTGTTTTACTCAAAATCAATTGTGGTATGAGATTTTCCTACTTCAAATAGTTATTGCTGCTTGTACTGACAGATCGCTTTCGTTTGATACCTGAAAAAACGCAAAATGATTCCTTCGTAGATTTGATGGTAATTTTTCCGGAAAATTTTCAGAGGAATGGTACAGATAAAATTTTTAAATAGTGACACTTTTCGCCGTTTGGTTCTAATCTACTTTAAGAGTATTGACGAATTGCTGTAATACTTTGAAGAATTCAGTCCTACTATTTTGAGTAGCTACTTTGAGATGAAAGGTTGACAGATCGATGTCATCAAATGATTCGGGAATTCAACGCATAAACTTTCTCTTTGGCACTTTAGTTTTTGTTATAAAATGTGGTCCTGTAGTAAAAATAAAGTCCCAAATCCTGTACATCTTCGGAAATAGTAGGAAACGAAAATTTTGATTTTCCTTCATAGGAAGCAGCTGATTTGTCTTTAATAAGACAAAAAATTTGTGAATACTTGATTTTTGTAGTGAGAGGAATATCTTATTCACATACCGTTATTTCCGCGATATACAACGGCAACACAAACACCGCGAAATAATATGATATAAACATAATCGAGAATCCACCGATAAATGGCAATGTTTGAAACAACGGAATGTGGAAAAGAATGTCTTATTCACATACCGTTATTTCCGCGATATACAACGGCAACATAAACACCGCGAAATAATATGATATAAACATAATCGAGAATCCACCGATAAATGGCAATGCTTGAAACAACGAAATGTGGAAAGGAATGTCTTATTCACATACCGTTATTTCCGCGATATACAACGGCAACACAAACACCGCGAAATAATATGATATAAACATAATCGAGAATCCACCGATAAATGGCAATGCTTGAAACAACGGAATGTGGAAAGGAATGTCTTATTCACATACCGTTATTTCCGCGATATACAACGGCAACACAAACACCGCGAAATAATATGATATAAACATAATCGAGAATCCACCGATAAATGACAATGCTTGAAATGATGGAATGTGGGAATCCTGCAAAAAATATTCACGAAAAATGTTTTTTTAAATGTATAAATAGAAATTGTTTGAAGACAGTCAAGCAATCCAACGAAGCGACATCTGCTGCACTAACGGAGAGAACCGTTTTAATGCATTCCGATCTATGAACAGACATAATCATAGAACTATAATCTTTAAGCTGTTGTACAATTGTGATAATTTCGGCTCTCCTCCCATCCACCATGGAAAATCATAATTCTATACAAATGCGATTATAACCGGCAGCATATTCAGAATTGTCATCAAACCCTCTTAACTCAGAATAGGATAAACAACGTACTACAATAATGACATGCAATTTCATCACATAAGATCAAGCACTATTTTTTTGTTCGGAAAATTATTTAAATTTGCATTACAAATAAAAGTCTGATTTTTTAAAATTACTAAAATAAAATTAAATTACTTGCCAAGAAATTAATGTCTGTCACGATTGCATTTACATGTGGCCTAGCTCAAAATTAGTAGTATCTGACCCTCTTGATGATAGATATGGCAATATAAGATCTACACGGTTTACGAAAGGAAATTGGTTCTTACGACGAATTTTTGAAAGAAAAAATACTTTGTTCCGAGAATTCTCAGAATGATATAACAATCACTAAATGTTTTTTAAACGTCGTAAGAAATTAAATCTCAGCAACTACTGTAAATTTCACGGCTCCAATAATTCCTTCCTGAAAGTTGCTGTCACCAATTTTCAAAAAATCAATAAAACTCCACGGAAGAGTATTTCATTTAAAAAAACCTAACAGTCTTGCTCTTATTTGGAGATCAAAACTTCCGCACGAAATACCACTTTTTTCAGTGTTGAATGAGACTTTTAGAATCATGAATACCTTCACGTTACCACAACGACAGAACATTGCTATTTCTTCACTACCTTTTATTACTTTCATCCCAAACAGGTACGTACATTAAAAACAGCCAAACACAAATTTTAATCAGAGTTCTTATCGATCAACAACATAAGCACAGCGGTCACAAATCCACAAATAAGTTTCAAATCTTTATCATCCAACATCATTATGTACAATTTGAAATGAAATATAGACACTATATGAGGCGATCAATAATACACAAGCCAGAAAGAAACAAATGACTAGTCACATCAACACTAAAACCACAACGATCAGGGTAGGTCAACTTTGAGCTAGCATGACTCATGGATTTGTGGCCCTAAAGAGGGCCGTTGGGTTTTGTGCGCAAAATACACTAATGGATTGTGTCTGGTTATTTTAACCACCAAAACCATAGAGTGTACGACCTTGATCACCAATATCATCACCAATATTCATCACCAATACAGCACACTCCGTACATTACTATTACCTTGATTCCTTCAAGAACTCTGCCTTTTCACGAAGTTTCAAATCTTTATCATCCGACATCGATCATTATGTACAATATGAAATCAAAT